TGATTATTCCTTTATTTTTAATAACTGTGCATAGTTACTTGCAGTGGAATGCTTCTGCGCTAATGCAACCTTTAACCGTGCGTGTGCCTTCAGTAAAATCACGCTGTCCTTGTGAAACTGGATAAAGTGATAAAGCGTGTGCATGCCCCAAAAAAAAAAAAAAAAAAAGTGGCTGCTGAATTAAACTGGGTCTCTCACGCTTGCAGTGTCTGAGGTGGGAGGTTCATCACCTGAGCTTTGCCTTACAGGTTATTACACCTACATTAGCTGATAATACAGTGTGATCAAGGCAGGGGTTGTGGCAAGTGACACTTGGGGGTCTGATTAAGGCACCCTGTGCCCCTGGGTATTGAGATGCTACAGCCTGGCCAGTGTCTTCCTAAATTTGGCCACTGTCCTGTGGGTAATTTTCCCAATCTGTCTCAAATTTCCCTTGCTACAGCTACAAGCTGTTCTGTCTCACCCCTTTAACTGCATCCTCTGAGGCGAGTCTGGCTCTGTGGTTTACTTAACGCACATTCAATAGCTGTAGAGCATAAAAAGCCTTTCCAAGTCTTGTATTCCCTTCTTTTCACCAAGTGATGCATGTGATCCCTCTGATGAATGGATGGTCAGTCAGAGTTCGGGGCAATGTTGTGGTTCCTGCTCCAGCATCGTGTAGGGTCCAGGCTGGAGCTCTCACTGTGGTGTACCTGACCTGTSTCCTTTCCCTTTCAGAGTTCCCTAAATAATTCCAGGTGTTTTGCTAAGCTCAGTTACTTCTCTACCTTTATTTTGTTAAACTTCTCTGACTTGATGAAGTTTTGGAATACAGTACATGTTCCCAGTGTGGTTTCATTTATCTCAGGGCATTCTGGAAGTGATTTTCTGTGAGTTTGTGATATCCTCCCCCAGAGAAGCTGCAGCTTACTGCTTCCTACAGCCTCCAGCCCTGCCAGCTCCATCCCTGACCCTGGGAAGGACCTTATGGAAACTGAATGATGGAGATTGTCATCGGAACTGGCTGAGTCTTTTGCCAAGTTAAGCTGAGTCTGAGGTGTTCAATTTTCTGTGGAGCCTGTGTGGTGGACTACTCTCGTGTTAACCACTTAACCACCTGCATGACTTTTKGGAGATGAGATTCACATTCCCTGGGATTCCCTTTCTCCAAGGTCTTCAGAATGATTTTTGGTTGGATTGAGTGGCAGTGTCTGCTGAAGTGTGATGCCCCTGAGGCTCAGRGATTCCTGCCCACCTCATCCCTATGGTCCCAAAATTTGATTATTCTCCTTCACATCAATGCCAGCCCCCTCCAGCACAGCAAGCCCAGGTAGGCTGCGGGATGCTCTGTGATCCAGAGCTTGAATGGTTTCACCGAGCTCTGACCCTACCCCTGGGCACTGAATCACTTCTTTCCTCATCCATCAGAGAATCCAAAGCAGTTCTGTTCATTGCAGGGCCTTCAGGGCCATTCAGGGCAGTCCCGGCCCACCCAGGGCTGCACCCACAATGGACAATGGCTCACGGGTTTTTCACCCTTTCTCACTTTTGTCCATTTGCACATCGGGGCTGAATCCTCCAGTTGCAGCTCAGCCAATGCAGTCATTSACTCCAASTTGGYTCCCCCCAATTCTCTGTTGTTTCCATCTCTTGGGGCCTGGCACAGKGAGGTGTCCTTGAGTTTGGGGCTGCAGAGGAATTGTTTKGTGTRAAAATGGGAGRGCAGGAGCTCAGCACTGTCTGTGGAGTCTGGAGTTACCCACTAAAGAATTACAGTATTACAGAGACATGAAAAATACAAAAGCTAAAATCCTAAGGCATCATCTTAAAGTTTTCATTGAACATCGTGGTATCTTTAAACACCATTATTTTCCAGAGTGGGTAACACTCAATGGCTGTAACAAATTYTAGTTTTCAAAAGGCACCTGCAGTTGGATGACAATTTTATGCTGGATAATTTGGGATACAATAAAGTATCCCAAGTACCAATGCAAAGTAATTAGAACAAAACTAATTATGTACAGCTTGTATAATTGCACACAGCTATGTGTGTACTGTATTTTGTTGACTCCCTTTGTTCTCTGCCCTGTGCTCTGGAGAACATAATTGCACTTAAGCTTGATGTTTTATACTCTKTTTAAGATGAAGGTTGTTTGTCTGGTTAATGTTCCTGTGGTTTTTTTTTTTGTAGAAATGCAGAACATTTCATTGTATGTAACAACAGAAAGTGAGATGTATTCAAAGAAATCTAAATGTGAAATCTAGAAACTTTTTGTGAACAAAAGGCATTTTTGTAAATAATTTTGGTTATTGGAAAGTGGCTGATTTGTAAGGGAAAGGACTTGGCTGGTATTTGTGGTGATGTACAACAAAGTTGTAYAATCTGCTTGTTGCCAAAGCAATTTTTTTTGGTCCACAGTTCTTTCTTTTTCTGTTGTCTGTCTCTTTTTCTCAGGCCTTTGCT